GTCTGAATACTTTCCGTACCCACTGTATATATATATATATATATATATATATTTGATCATTATTATTGATGTTTCTCAGAAATATAGATACAAATTATCATTTTTTCATTAATATTTCTCAGAAAATACAGAAACAAATCAATTGATCATTTGTCACATATTTCTCAGAAAAAAAAAATGCTTGTTCTTTGTCATTTATATTTTCCTTATAAATTACTGAACAAAATATTTGGTTGATTATTGTCATTTATATTTCTCATAAATTACATATTAAATGTCTGCCTCATCATTTTGTCATTTATATTTCTCATAAATTATGGAACATTACTACTTGATCATTTTGTTAAAGGAAATTAATCATTAATATTTATCATTACAGAAAAACCTGTTTGCTTAATTATTTTGTCATTTATATTTCTCATACATTATGAGAAGAAATATTTGCTTGATCATTGTGTGTGTTTGGTACCATTTGTCATGTAATGTTTTGGATGTGGTTTCATGGTAATGAAGGTTCACATCTTTTCCTGTCATTGGGTCTCATTCGCTAAGCATGCATACGCATAGATTTGTGCATCATGATGCATCTTATCAGAAATGCTGTTGTGTTTGTAGCACTGCACTGACAGACGTCGTTCTGAAGGGCTTTCTGAGTCAGTAGTGTTTCTTGAGGATGTTAAGAGGTTCGGTCTCTCTGTTTTGGGAGTGAGTGAGTGAGTGTGAGTGAGTGAGTGAGTGAGTGAGTGTGAGTGTGTGTGTGTGTGGGGGGTACCATCTGTCATGTTATAACAGTGTTTTGGACATGGTTTCCTGGTAATGAAGGTTCACATCTTTTGACCAATGAATTTTTGTTACTTTTACAGTCTTGTTTTGTGGTCTGTAGGTGGCACTTTTCAAGAAAGTATACAAGATAGGGGCTGAAACAATTATTATTATTATTATTTTATTTTATTTTAACTTTCAGAATTTGTCGAGCGGAGATCAGCTGCGCGCCGCCACCATGCTGCTGGACACCGTCGAGCAGGGTGCCTTCGTGCTCGCAGACAACCTGCTGAAGACCGACGTCGTGCAGGAAAACACTGAAAACATCCGTGAGTCATGCATTCTTCCTCAATCCAACACATGACCTTGACCTTGCTAGCGAAAACTTGCCTGCTAATGAAAGTCACTGAACAGATGAATATACACAATCATACATGAAATACTTTATTAGCTCTTTTTCTGTTGGATGCTTTGTAGACTTCTCTTCCCAAAAGCAATGGTCAGAAATTAGGTGCTGAACCTTCAGAAAATATGAAAGTCAAACTAAAGATTACAAGAACTGCTTAACATTTTTATATGTCTTAAATAATATAAACATATTTATCCAGTTATATTTCTCACAAATTACAGAAAATAACAATTCGCTTGATTATGTTGTCCTTATATTCTCATAAATTAGAGTAAAAAATAGTTGCTTGATCATTTTGTGATTTATATTTCACATAAATTACAGAAAAAAATGCTTGATCATTTTATCATTTATATTTTTATTAATTATAGTAATACTTATTGATCACTATTGTATATACTTCTCATAAATAAAAAATGCTTGACATTTTGTCCTTCATATTTGTTATGAATTACAGAAAATAAATTTGTTTAATATTTTTGCATAATTGATCATATATAATAGATATGTCATAAATTACAGAAAAAATGCTTGATAATTTTGTAATTTATATTTGTCATAAATTACAGTAAAAAAAAAATCTTGATCATTTTGAGATCCATGTTTCCCATAAATGAAAGGAAATATATTTGCTTGATCATTTCATTATGTAATTATTTTTCAAAAATAGCCAAACAAAATCTTGATCATTGTCATTTATGTCTCATAATAAAAAAAAAAAAAGCTTGATCATTCTGTCATTTGTGTTTTCCATAAATTACAGAAATAATTTGCTTGATTATTTTGTCATTTACATTTCACATGAATTACAGAAAAAAATTGCTTAATAATTTTATTATATATATGTTTATTTTTCAAAAATGATAAAAAAAAAAAAACTTGATAATTGTCATTGATTCTTCTCATAAATTACAGGGAAAACAATATATTTTGTTATTTATATTTCTCATACATTACAAACAAATTGTTTGATCATTTTAGCTTTTATATTTCTCAGAAATTAAATATATATTTTTTTCATTTTGGTTGTTGTCAACCTTTATAAGAGCTTTGCAGGGTTGATCTTTAAATGCTGTCACCGCTACAGTATGTGTAAAAATTAAGAATATGAAATGTTTCTCATCTTCTAAATGGTCACTGTCATGGTGTTACAACAAAAAACATTGGATTTGTGCCTCTAATGCATTAAAGCGTGCCTTATCCATGGAAAGCATCAGTTTTTGATTCTGATTGTTTGGGCAGAAATGAGAACAGCCGGCTATCAGCGGCGTCCATGAACCCGAGCGGCCCTGATACACACCGATAAACCTGCTTTCATCACAAAGAACCTCATATCAGTGCCGCATTTGACTCCTTTATGTGTGCGAATCGTGTTATTTCATTCACTGGAAGGCGTAATTAAGCGTTTTTAAACGAAAGGCTGAGTGAGCATAAGCTACGAGCGATAATTTAGTGTCGTTAACAACGCGTTTCTCAGCCCGCAGAGGAATGGGACGAGACGTTTTGAGGACGCCCACGGTTTTCTGTCCCGCTCGCATCTGTTTGCGAATATCACAGTGTGAATGTCAGCATTCCCGAGATCAGGCTGTTGTGTGCTGTGTGTATATTCCTCTGGGATGAAAGCGGATGCATCTCCCGTTCCTAAAGATGGGGATTTAAGGCGGACTGGCTGCCATGGAAACTCCAGAATGTAGGTCTGCCGTCTCTCTGCGGAGATGGTCACATTTTGGGAATTAATAAAACAGAATTTATCGTGTCTGGCATGCGATTTATCCTGATATTAAGGGATCCGGAGCTCGGCTCCGCGGGGGGAGGGAGTCCCTCCTACAAACTTTTTACGAGGGTTATTTTATATCCTCCGTGCTGCGTGGCGATTAATCTACAGGCTCTGACACCTTTAGCAGACCTTCAGGCCCTGTTTGATGGGGTAAGTTTGTTAGTTATATGCTTTGTTTGGCCCGTGGGGCCGCTGAGTCCGTCACCGACACCGGCGAGCCGAAAAGCAGCCTTCCGTTAAAGGAATAGATCAGCCGGAATTGAAAAGTTTATACACTCTCGTGTCATTTCAAACCCATATTATACTCTTTCTTCTGTGGAACACACGAGGAGATGCTGTTTCCATAAATACAGTGTCCAAACAGTGTTCATTCACAATTGATTTAATATAAAAGACAGGTAACACATTGAATAAATGTGAACATTTTCACATTTAAAGTATTTTCTTGTAAAACACTCCAATAGTGTGTTTTGTTTACTTCAAAACTTTGAAAAAACATTTTTACGGTGTATAGTCGAGCTTCAAAAAGCATTCATATGTGCTCCCGTCTCATCCATGCGACTTATATTCCAAGACATGCTTTGTGAGAAACATACGGAAATGTAAGAATTATTCATCCAACACATACAAAAACCAGTGATGTTTGACGTTAAACTTGACACAATGCATCTAAAGTGCTGTTCGCAATCAAGACTCATTGGAAAAACAGCCTCTGTATATATTTTTGCTAAATTAATCAAATGTGCACGTACAATTCACTGCAGTTTATAGCTGAAGTGAACACTAGTGGCTGTAAAACAACAACAATTTTGATTCCTTAGTGCACAAATTATAATTGCACAGGCAAATTATTAATTAATAAAGACATATATTTTCAAGCCGTTCCTTGTACAATACTATGTTATGAGCTTAAAAATACACTTCTACCACAGTGCATGATTTGTAAACTAAGTATTTTGATGTTTGCATCACATAACATCTCCATATATTTGGCTTTTCTGTGTAGTAAACTTGCTCGGTAGCGCACCCGGTACATCACTGCATTTGAGATGCAACGCATTAAAAATCAAGCCCCCTGAAACGCAAGTCACGATAAAACAGCTCAAAGACTCAAAAACAAGCTAAAATGACACGGTTGCTTCAACAAATTAGTTTTTAACACATTTGTTTTGTTAACTCTTATTGGTACGGTTTAGGGTAGATAGTATGTTATTTTAACACACTATAGAGTATTGACCTTACAACACCACTCAACCAGGCATTTCATTTCCAAACAACTGTGATACATACAAAAACCAGCGTAAAACATTGCCAGATTCACATTCATCTGTTTTGGATAAAACTGAACACACTTTTAGCACCACTTACTGGACATTTCACTATAAGTAACTGCAAGATGCAACATAATATCATTTTTTCAGAAATATCACCACAGGTACATTTTTCCAGTGGTCCTGGATTGTATGTTTGACTGCACAAAAACATAAATCAATAGAATGTTGACTTAATGACTTAAATGTTGGTCTTGTGCTTGCACAAAGCATTAATACGGCTCCAGAAGACTTGAACCATCACTTGTTTTATTCTGTTTTTCTTTTGTTCATTTTGAAGGTCAACACCCCTCTGAATGTTCCTCAGATGATCTCCTGTTGTGTTTCACAGAAGAACGTCAGTCATACGGGTTTACATTATGATTTTTGCGCATACTATCCCTTTAAGACGATGTAGAGTGCCAACATCGTGCCATGTGGAGAATCGAGAGAAGATTAGCGGCGTTGCCATCTGATGATAGTGTTGATGACACAGTCGTTTGGGGAAATAAAAGCCTGTTTGTGTGCGAGGATGGATGCTCATCTTTTGCCAACTTACCCTGAAATGGTTGTTATCCTCCTCCTTCGGTTGAATATAATGTGCTTTAAAAAAAAAAACACGGCATGCCATTGTATTTAGATTTCCCTCTTTTTGATGGAAAGCGTGTTTGTCCTCACGCTCATAATCTGGCGAACAGATTTTGGGCGATTAACGTGTTATTTAAACTGGCTTTTGATTTCTCTCGAGGCACAACAGCGTCTCTGCCTGCTGTTTGCAGTCTTAAGCTTTTCACAGCGATGCTGGAGGAATGAAAAAGTATTTCCTGCAAGCTATAGTTGTCTGGTTATGCCCACCACTCTTTATCGCTCTTTGTCCTGTCGGCGGCGGAATGAGAGTCTCTTTTGGGATTTTGGTTTGATAAGTGTTTGTGTAAATGCTGGGGGATTTTGCGGCTGACTTCTTTTCAGGTTCTCTGAAAGCATGTGTATGAATGCCCAAAATCAGGCTGCGGGCCTGGCGCTGATGCAGTGAGTCAGTGCATTCATGCTTTGATTAGAGAGCTGCGCTGAATCACTCTCGAAATCTCAGACAGCGTGAGATGCTTTTATTTGTGCAAACAGCACAGCAGGAGTTTCATTCTCCGTTCGAACTGCAGACTCTACGCAAGTATGTGACGCAAGCGCTTCAATGTCGTGCATCGTTGTGTTTTAAAATGTGCATTGTCAAAGTTTCTCTTTTGGTTCAACTACTGTCATGAAGGAGCATTGGCTGAAAGAGAAAACGTATAAAAGTGGTCAGTGTGAACGGAAAGCAACAGGGTGCTCTTGTATGACAGAACTTATGTTGCGCCTTAAAGTATCACCTTCGCTGAAATCGCTGCAGTTCAATCCTATTTACGTCACATAAACCTGTTTCCAAGTTTGGTCTTACGGACCTGTTGCTATGAGAACAACTGAGATGTGTTTGGAGGAACTAAACAATACAGATCGAGTTAAATCATCAAATGAAGCTAGCTCTGTAATCCACATATGCAAAAACAGACCTTGAGAACTGTATTAGTCTGATTAGTGATTCAATCATTCAGATTCAATGATTAATTGAAAAAAAAATCTGTTCAAAGGAATGATTTGTTTATGAATTGGACATTGCTACAGTTTTATTGAATACCAAATAGAGATCACGCTTTTCAGTGAATTGCAATTTGAATTCCTCACACAAAATGCTTGTATGAATCAGAAGATTGCAGAATAGCACACAAGTGGGATGGAGCACATTATGTAAAACAGCTTTTGTTTCAGTCCTTTTTCACTTTCATTATACTTCTAAACTCAAAATACATCAGTTGAATTCTGTGGTGTGTTATTGTCAGAATCCTCACTTGTCATGCATTGTGTGGATTATTTTTCTGTGTGTGTGTTTAGAACTGGAGGTGGCGAGGATGAGCACAGACGGAAGTCTTCCCGATCTGAAGTTTCCACAGACGGGAGGCCAGGGAAACACCATCCACCTGTCAGCCAACACCCTCAAACAACACGGCAGAAACGGTACATACTCTAGCTGAAACTAAAATCAACTAAGAGAAAATAAAATAAAAACTAGTTTTCCTTGTAGTGTCATTTTCGTTTAGTGAAGTAGTTTAGAAGTACTAAAATAACTAAAGCAAAGTAAAATAATAATTTTCATTTTGAAGTACTACAATAACTAAAACGAAATACACATTAAAATAAATAAATACATTATTTGAGAACGAACATTTTTTATTTCAACTAGTTGCCAAGGCAACATTTCGTCTTTTCATTTAGTTTGATAAAAAAAAAGCTAAAATAACTAAAACGAAAACTAAAATCATTAAAACTTAACTAAACGTTAAATGAAATAAAATAAAAATGAATGAATAAAAAATACATAAATAATAATAATAATTAGTATTTTAGTATTTCATTTTAAATATTTTAGTATTTCATTTTAACTACTTGTCAAGGCAACATTTCTTCTTTTTGTTAAGTTTAAGTTGAAGTAGTAAAAACCAGCATAACTAAATAAAGTAAAACTAAAAATTAAAACCGAAAAATATACCTAAACTACACTGAAAAAAAAACCTATTTAAACTAGTTGCCAAGGCAACATTTCTCCTTTTCCTTTAATTTAAGTTGAATTACTAAAATAACTACAACTAAAATTTATGAAAACAATACTGATATGCAATCATTCCTTTGATACAAAATTTAAATTTTAACTAAAATTAAAATGAAGAAAAAAATAAATGGAAAAAAAAAAAAAATCGAATTCAAAATATTAACACAAAGTATACTAGTACATCAGTGATACTAAAATAACGCTGAAAGCCACTTCCATTTTCTGAAACTCTTGATTTCCAACATCCTACTTGGCAAAACAAAATAGATGGAAAGTTGAGATCATCCACGCTTACTCCCATGTTATGAACTTGTTTCCTGTTTTTCTTCCTGCGAACAAACGTTTGTTACCAAACAGCCCGTCACCAATAATCGCGAAAAAAATAGTTTTGTGTTCTTGTGAGTCAGTGATCCAGACGTGACAGGGAGGCGGCGGTGGGGTGATTTTTTCATTTCTTTTCACGAAAAAAGCAAGTGAGACGCGAAAATAACGAGCAGAACTGTAGCTCTCACAAAGGAGGCAGTAAAGCGCTAATGACATTTCAATAAAGCTGAATCAAATCGACTCTGCGGTTAGATTTTTTTTCCTCCCTTTTTCTCGCTCACTCGAAACCTTTGTGGCTCTCAGTAAATGCTGCCGAGAGGAACAAAGCATTATGGGTGTTATGTATTCATTACGTGATCTACCGAATCCCATCTAATCAAAGCTCAAATTATTTCACTTCATTGCTCTTTTCCTCTAATATAACGCCTGAAACAGGGCTTCGATCAGCTGGAGACGGTGTCTGCTTGCTCTCAATGATGTGGTAATGAAGAGTTTTTACTGAACTCTAAAGAAACGTGCGGCTGAACCCCGGTATGCCCCATCAGGCCATGTTCAACAGCAGATTTTACAAGTTTTGCTTTGTTGTACTGTCGCTTTGGCTTTGTAAAGGCTTAAGCAGGTGGCTGATCTCCCAACGAGCTCCCGAAATTAACTTTTCCATTAAGGGCCAATATTTGCCCACTTAAAGTCATTTCCAGGAGGATTTTTATAAGGGCTTTTTTATAAGTGCAAAGTTTTTCTAACCTTGTATGCACAGTATGCATCATCTTTAATGTCAAATTCATCAATAAAATAAGACGAATAAAATCCTAAAGGTGGTTACCAATCAAATAAAATAAAATAAAATCCAATAACATCCATCTTTGCACTTTAGAAGGGGCACAGAAACTGCATATTAAGTCCCATTTTTAATAAAAACCTGTTATTTTTTATATTATTTATAAAATAAAAAAAATACTTTCATTCAGCCAGGATGCATTAAATTGATCAAAAGTGAAATATATTTATAGTGTTACAAAATATTTATATTTCAAATAAATGCTGTTCTGTTAAACTTTCTATTCATCAAAGGATCATGAAAAATAAAACGTATCATGGTTTCCACAAAAATATTGGGCAGCACAACTGTTTTAAACACTGATGTGTTCAACACAAATGTTTCTTGAGCAGCAAATCAGCATATTAGAATGATTTCTGAAGATCATGTGACACTGAAGACTGGAGTAATGATGCTGAAAATACAGCTGCGCATCACAGAAATAAATTACATTTTACAATATATTAACATAGAAAACAGCTATTTGAAATAGTAATAGTTTTCATCAAATTTTGATCAATTTTTGATCAATTTTTGATCAAATAAATGCAGCCTTGGTGAGCAGAAAAGACTTCTTTCAAAAAACATTAAAACAATCTAAACACTCCCAACTGTTTGATGCAGCTCAGAGATGCCATGAATGCATTTACTAGGGTTGGGTACCGAACTCGGTACTTTTAAGGGTACCGACCGAATTGCGTCGGTACTACCGAGTACCGATTCATGTTAAATCAATCGGTGCCAAATTTCGGTACCTGAGAACGCATCTGGGCGCATACGCTACAGAGAGAGAAAGAGAGACCCTGTGACGTGAGGTCACCCCTGCAACTCGTTCAAACAACACACAGGGCAAGCCGAAATGTTCTGAAGTGTGGTTACATTTCTAGGGCCATATGGTTTGATATGATATGGAGTTGTGACGTGATGTCACCCCTGCAACTCGTTCAAACAACACACAGGGCAAGCCGAAATGTTCTGAAGTGTGGTTACATTTCTAGGGCCATATGGTTTCTGCGAAAACGCGGACGGGATCACGGAGTCCATTCATAAAAACATAATTTACTCTATAGCGCGGAATGCCACGCAATTCGTCAATTTTGGACGAATAAATCAAAAGTAGCCACTGCCACTTAATTCGAATCGCGATGTGAACTAGTGTCTGTGAATATAAAAATGCAAAAATACGTTTTAAATCCTGCATGTTCCGCTTGCCTCTGTATGCATGTATGGCAGAAACGCGGTTTTGTTTACTACACAAATACTGAAGCACGCGTGACGCTCGCGGTGATTTCCGGCCTCTGCGTCTCACTATATGACGGCATGAACACAAAAACTTAATCTCTTACATTTGTACAGTATAATGTACATCTTTAAATATTCCATTTTCTGTCAAATTTAAATAAAACAATTAAATGATAAAAAAAATATTACAACCAGATAAATCACTTAATTGTAGAAAAAATTATACTATTATTAGCCTATTAAAAATGTTTTAAAGGAATATTCACACAATTTTTCTTCCATGTAGTAATTTCAACAGTAAACCTAGGTTTGTTTGCCAAAAACTAAAAGGGTTTTATTTTCATTTGATTTAAAATAAATGTTTAATGCCTTCATTTGATTTTCAGAAAAAATAAAAACAAGAATTTCTGGGGGGGAAAAAAAAGAAAGAAAGAAAAAAAGAAAAAGTTTGTAGGGCCCTATTGTTCAAAATGTTGAAATTGAGACTTTTGGACTTATTTTTTCACTGAAATAAATGTTTTTGTAATTACACAGAGAGTAAAGTACCGAAAAAAGGTACCGTTAGGTACCGGCAACGAAATTCAGGTACCGATACCGGTACCGTACCGGTTAAAATGTGAACGGTAACCAACCCTAGCATTTACACTACAATTACATGAATTATGTTATAAGAGGCATGCTTTAAAATAGCATTTTCAGTATAGAAATATGAAATTTACTTTTAAATATGAAACAAGTGACTGTTATAATAAGTGAGTCATTGAATCATTGACTCGCCTGATTCGTTTCAGTAACAAAACACAATGTGCAACGGTTCTGCTGTGTCTTTGTTTGGAGCTATTATTGCTTGTGAAATAGAACAAAAACGGACAATATTGTGTCTAAAATGCTAAGATGCTTAATATTAATGACTTGTTACTAAACTGTAGTATAAAATCAATATCACATTTGCAGTCATGCTGTTATTTGGGAAAAGCTGTGCTCTTGCATGTGTGCATATGTTTTAAAAATTCAAAACAAACTCATACAAGGGCATATTCAGGGCCACTTCTGCATATTTCTCAGATTTGGTGGCATTTTTGCCCCAAGCCTCCGTTAATGATTGACCAACTTATTTGATTCTCTCAAATGTGAGGCTTTTTCAGCTTCTGTTGAGTAGCCAAATACTTCTGAGCTAACTAAAACAACTGAACTTTGTCATAATAATGCTGATACAGCCGCTCTGTCTTTCAGGGGAGATCCGGATGGCGTTCGTCCTGTACAAGCATCTGGGTTCGTATCTGTCCACTGAAAACGCCAGCATGAAGTTCAGCAGCGAGACGTTAAACACAAACCACTCTGTCATCGTCAACTCTCCCGTTATAACGGCGGCCATCAACAAAGACAGTAACAAAGTCTACCTGTCCGACCCCGTCATATTCACCATGCGGCATATTCAGGTACGGAGCCGAGCGGTTTGTGTTGCATTCGCTGTGAGATTTGTTGTCAGAATAAAACATCATTTTTCTGAGGAAATTCCTTGGAATAATCGTGTGGGTCCCTCAGTCACACCACCTGCATTCATGCCTGAAGTATGTTTCTCCAAGCATTTTAATGAAACACACCCAGCAAATCAACTTTAATCAAGTTCGAAAAATGCAGAAAATGTGTCCGTCTGGGTTGAATATTGTAGTTTAGAGGTCACAGTATGGAATAGAGGGGTTTGCAATGTGAGCCAGATCGATTATTTGGATGATAGTGATACATTCTGTATTAAGGCCTGCTCACAACAAGGATAACAACTATAATGATAAAGATGAAGTTTGAAATATTGTTCTAAATGTGAAAGAATAACAGGTTACACTTTATTTCGACACTTGTACTGTAGGACGTTATGATTTATGTGATGTGGGAAACACGGACGCAATAGCTGAATCCATTAGATTAGAGTATTAGTAGACTGTTAGGTTAGGGTTAGGGTTAGGGTTAGGGTTAGTTAAATAAGTGTAAAAATAAAGTGTTAACAGATATAAAGCAGACAGTCTACTAGTTGACATATAGTTGCAAAGTTACTTAGAGTTAGCAGAATAGCTGAAGTTATATTTGATAAACAGAACAATATTGTGCATTGATGTGGACACTAATATAACTATCATTAGAGTTATCATTCTCGGTGTGAACGGACCCTTGTAAAAAGTACTCTTAAGCATTAGAAGTAATACGCTTTAAAAGAATATACTTAAGTGCAAACTGAATTTAGTATTTTCAGATGCATGCTCCATGTGCATGTTAACTGCAATTAAATGAAATTGTATTATAGTTTAAATCTATGTTAAACACAATTAGCTCAACCTTAGAGTGTTTTGTGACCTGCTTCAGTAGGACTTTTGATATGTAATTGTCTTATGGTTAAAATGGCTCATCCAATTTTATTGTTATCATCCTTCCTGCAATGTCATGATTGGTAAAAAAAAATAGTTCTGCTCGTTAAAATCTGCCAATTCCCTCGCCACCAGCATTTATGCTTGAATTATTTTTCTCCAAGCGCTTTATTGAAACGCACCCAAAAATGACACACACACACAGAATCTCTGTCTCCAGGCTCGATTAGAGCTGGAAACGTGGTCTCGCCACCAGCATTTATGCTTGAATTATTTTTCTCCAAGCGCTTTATTGAAACGCACCCAAAAATGACACACACACACAGAATCCCTGCCTCCAGGCTCGATTCCAGTTTGTGTGGGTAGGATTCGCTCACGGAAGAAAGATATCGGCAAATCCACAAGGAATCTGCAGATTTCCACAGAACACCAGCAGCCAGCTGCCCGGAGTGTCTGTTTGATATAGATTTTGGCTAATTTGATAATGCTTTAGCCAGCAGATTCCTGAGTTTAAATCAATTCCTTAGAATTCTTAGAATTTTTTTCTAAAAATGCAAAATGCATAAAAACATTCTGTCTGGGTTGAATATTGTAGTTTAGAGGTCACAGTATGGAATGGAGGCTAGATTAATTAGTTTGATGAATGTATTCTACATTATTCTGTATTTGCTTACCCTTGTGAAAAAAGAAGTGCACTTTAGTAGTGGAAATAATATTCTTTAAAATATATATATATTTGCATGTAAACTGATTGTAATGTTGTCAGCAGTGTTATATTAGTATCATTGACATACTATTATAGTTTTTAGAAGCAGTTTTGCAGTTTTTATTTTTATAGTTTCCGTTTCACTTTAATTTTAGTTAAAGTTTTAGTAGCGTTTTTTTTTTGTGTGTGTCATTTTTTTGTGTTTTTTGTAACTGTGTCTATAGTTTTAATTTATATTTTGTATAAATTATTATTTATTAATTAAATTATGAATTGTATAAATAATTGTATATATGTATAGTTTGTAATACTTGTATTTAATTGTGCTTTTTTATAATTAATATTATTGTATTTTTATAGTTTTTATTGATTTAGCTTTTTTAGTTTAGTTGCAACTAGCTGTTTTTTATGTTTTATTTAATTTATTGTTTAACTCTTTCCCCGCCAGCATTTTTGAAAAAAGTTGCCAGCCACCAATCCAGTAAATCGCTTCCATCAACACCTCCAAAGCTTGCACAGACATATACCACTTCCTGGATCAACATTTTACTCCGTAACATTATGCAGTTTTCATTTATATGCTGTCTATTGCTGATGACCGCATTATTTTTCATATGCATCTGTTTACATAAGAGCTGGCTGGTTTCTCCATCCTGTTCACGTGTGTTTTTGTTCGGGAGGTTTTGTACTTGTTCAGAAGTTGCGTAATAGCGCCCCCGAGTGTATAACAGTGAAAACACGAAAAAGCCGTAAAAACTCGTCTTTGGCGGGGAAGCGTTTTCTTCTAAAAGACGAGATAACTCGTCAATGGCGGGGAAAGAGTTAATGTCAAGTAACTTGTTATTTTTTTTGTTTTTTTTCGGACACCTAATTGCATGTTAATTGCAATTAAACTGGAATTTTATTATAGTTGAAATTTGTAATACATGCAATTACAGAAGCTGAGCTCTAGAGTGTTTTTACCCACTGAAGTAGCCTACATCTTTATGTGTAATTTCATAGTGACTTCTATTGTCTTTGAAATGTAGGTAAAATGACTCGGCCAGTCATCCAATTTTGTCTTTGTCATCCATCCAGCAGTTTCATGATCAGTAATAATGAGTTCTGCTCAGTGCTGCAGTGCTTTGCTGAAGGTTTTGGACCCTGAGCGTAACTCTTATTCTTGCTTATGTTGTGTGTTTCACTGCTTTCCTCGCTGACACAGTTTCTTCTTCCTCGTCTTCCAGCAGTCAGAGGAGAATTTCAACCCCAACTGTTCGTTCTGGAGTTACTCGAAGCGCAGTATGACGGGCTTCTGGTCGACGCAGGACTGCCGGCTGCTGGGAACCAACCGAACGCACACCACCTGCTCCTGCACACACCTCACCAACTTCGCTGTGCTCATGGCTCACGTGGACGTGAAGGTAGAGACGCCGCAAACACATCTGTCCCAGATATAAACATCAGACTATTCATCTGTCAGCGCGTTGAAACACTGCATGCAGATCACAGCAGAAGTTGTTTACACATCCGTTTTTGCGCTCGCTTCAATGCAACAATTTACACATTGCAACAAATGTGCATGTTTTACAAATGAACAACAGTATCACGAACACCCCCAAATATCTTATATCTTATTAATGTGTTTCTTGTCATTTAGCATGGTGAAAACCAGCAATCCACTGTACAAAAACGTAAACACTTACACTTGAAGCTATTATGTATAATGAATTATAAATGAATAACCGTAACCAATAACACTATATACTATAGTGTACACTATACAATAACACTATATGATGTAAATCATCCCGGGATGTTTGGAGGTGCAGAATGTGCTCTGAAGAAATCAGAAGAAAGACGTGAGGTGTGTTTATGTGGAGCAGATCTCTGTGGAGACTGTTTATTGTTTGCTGATGACTCCAGGCTGTGAGGTGCATTGTGGGAGATCAGCGGGTGGGCGGTCTTTATCTCTCCATATGATCCATGATCAACGACGATTCCCAGCTGAGCGACTTAATACACGCCGAACAAACACGCATATGCTGGTGTGTTTGCATTGTTACTGTTGCTTTCGGTTGGTTTTGTGTGTTTTTTAAAGGCCAACAGGATGTGTCTGATGTGCAGCTCGACGCCTGCTGAGTTTTTGTGAGTCGCTGCCATGCATTGTTTTCGACTGCTCACCTATTAGTGCTATTTGACTGTTTCTGTGTTGTTGTTTCTCTATTGATGTCTATTGTTGTGTCGGTGTGGTCGAGCGCAGGGGTTTTTCTCCGTCTGGCAGGCGTGGGGTCGCATGGGACGGAGCCTCACCCAGGTGCATTTAATCTAAAAGCTTAATTTACATGTTCCGTTCAGAGCCCAGGTTCGGCTTTACCTGGTGAGAAACAGAAGAACAATTGGAGTGAAAAACAGTGAAAAATGAGGGGGAGAAAATAAATTTTGATGGATGAAAGAAAGGCGCTGTGGAGCGCCGTCAACAGCCGAGGCACTCGAGAGAGGAGTAGATCGCTGACAGTCGTTTTGATTAGCAAGTCAGAAGGGAAAACTGTGGGTCTCCTTCAGGTCCTGCTGTTTAAAATAAAATCTCGCCACTCAGATTTAATTTATGCTGTGTAAGTCATGTCTGGAAGTAGAGGTCAAGAATGGTGAGGATTGGAGACACACCCATTTGAGGCAGTGACACGCCCATAAACACGCCCACATTTGGGCATGAGCACCAGTGTTGTTATCGATAACTAAAACTATCACAAAATTTTTGATAATGGGAACAAACCTTCTATAAAATATAAATATCAGATGAAAACCTCAAACATTTTACACTAAAATAAAATAAATTGAAGTACTAAATTTCCTGGATTTAAGACTAAAGCGAAAATAAATTGAAGATAAACAGAAATATTTCAAATTATCAAGAACTAATGATATTGACAAAAAGCTGAATTTAACTTAAATTAAAATGAAAACTTAAAAGCTGTTATTAATTGCAATATTAATAAATATTCTAATAGTTTAGAAATAATAATAAAATATGCATGCACAGTCATCAGGATTAGCCACACCCACATTTTGTGTAGCCACACCCACCGCTCATTTGACCACACCCCGTCATGGGTTAGTTACATTCACTACACACTTGAACACACCCACCTAGGGCTGAGTCACACCCACATCAGACATGGAAACCCCCACTGCGGGCTTAGCCACACCCACTGTACATATTGGGTTTGTGGGCGTGTCTTTCTTTTAGTTCCAGTTTAGAGCTCGTGGTCCTTCAGAAAAACACAAACATATCAAACACCCTGGGTGCGTGTGTCTGTGCACACCATCGGCCAAGTAAACCAGATCTCATTAACTATGGAAAAAACACTTTTTAAGTTCCTCTTCAGGAACTCGAGCTGCGTCGAAAACGCCTTCACGAATGACTGAAATCATTCAACACATTCACTCTCACCTCAACTAAAGCAAACTTAACATTCCTAAAGCTGCTGCTACTCTCACACTTTCATCATTCACACATGATAGAAGCTGTGCTGTTTAGATGCACACTACTGTTCAAAAGTTTGAAGTTGGTAAGATTGGTTTTAATATTTTTGAAAGAAGTCTCTTCTGCTCACCAAGGCTGGATTTATTTGATCAAAAATACAATAAAAATCAGTAATATTGTGAAATATTATTACAATTTAAAATAGCTGGTTTTTTTACGTGAATATCTGTTAAATCCATATTTAGAAGTATCATTTTATATTTATATACTGAAAATGTTATTTTGAAACATGTCTCTGTGAAACATGTAATTGTAGTATAAATGCATTCATGCCATCTCTGAGCTGCATCAATTTATTATTTAATGAGATTAACATTATTAAATGAGATTATTTCGATTATTTAATGTTTTTGACAGAAGTTTCTTCTGCTCACCAAGACTGTTTTTTAATTAAAATACAGTAAAAACTGGAATATTGTGAAATATTATTACAATTTCAAATTACTGCTTTTTATGTGAATATATATTAAACTGTAATGTATTTCTGTGATGCGCAGCTGTATTTTCAGCTTCATTACTCCAGTCTTCAGTGTCACATGATCTTCAGAAATCATTCTAATATGCTGATTTGCTGCTCAACAAACATTTCTGATTATTATCAATGTTGAAAACAGTTGTGCTGCCCTATGTTTTTGTGGTAACTATGATACATTTTATCTTTCAAGATTGAATAGAAAATAGCAGCATTTATTTGAAATATAAATCTTTTGTAAAATTATAAATGTCTTTTCTGACACTTTTGATCAATTTAATGCAGCCTAAAAAAAAAGAAAATCTTACTGACTCCAAACATATGAATGGTTTAAATCAGTGTAATATTTGTATTATTTATGAACTTTGAACAGTGGCTAAAATATTAAATCGAGTAAACCTGTTAGTATTTAGTATCAGTAATAGCTGGTAGGTTATTAGTGATCTTAGCATGAACAACTGACTGTAGATTAAAACATTTCTCTAGAAGACTGACATGATCTCATCACAGCAATTGTTATTTGGTCATTTAAAAAGATTTTAGGTGCATAGGCACCTATTAAATCCATTCATTTTCTGCTTCTGCTTCTTCCGCTCTTGAGTCTATGGAAGCCAAGTTATGAAATTTGGCACACTGATAGAGGACAGTCTCAACATTTACCATAGCACATTTGGAGTCTCTAACTCAAACTCTCTAGCGCCACCAACAGTTCAAAAAATTGCACTCATGTTTATGCTAATAACATTTGAACCATACGGGCTAGAAACAAAATTATATTTTCTTTTGATTCCTTGGCTCAAGATGATTCAATACCGAAACCAGATCCTCTTCAGACCATGTCAGGAAAAAAAAAGTGATGGAATTCAAGTTGATTAGTCAAACCGTTCTCGAAAAACATGCGAATGAAGAGCGCACCAAAGTGGACATGAGGCTATATCTCCGCAACGCTTTAGCATATTAAAACCAAAATTGGTGTGTCTCATAATAACCATGACCTGAGGCTGACTGCACAGTTTCAGCACAGTGCCACCTAGTGGTCAGGAGATATGAAAAATGGACGTTTGTGCTTATAACTTCTGAATGCTTTGGCCAAAAATCACATGACTAGTCTCTATAGATTGGGTACAACATATAATTTGAACAATACCCATATTTTTTTTACCACATGGGCCATTTTGGGGATCATTCATTTTGAATTTTTTGTAAAATGCTATTGCAGTTGTCACTGGGGAGGTACCTTTCACTAATATGTACACTTTAGGTGCCAATATGCACTTTTAAGGTACTATTATGCACTCTTTAGGGGTAAATAAGGTACAAAGGTGTGCTTTTTTTCAAAGGCAGCGCCCCAGTGACAGCTTTTGTACCTTCTTTATTTTTTTCTGAGAGTGCATGCACACGTGTGTGAGTGTGTGTTTATAGACACGTAGATTTACTTGAGCTCAGCGTTGACTCTATAAAGTCTGAGACTCGCTGTGGATTCTGCTGAGCAGGCTTGAGCTTTTGATTTACTTACAGCACTGACACACACACACACACACACTGCTGTTGAATGTAGAGGAGATATAGCGCTCAAGGGTGAGTGGGCCTCAGGAAGAGTGATGTGTTATGTGCTCAATGGCCCTCCGGCGTTCAAACACACACACACACATATACATATAAGCAGTGTACTGTTACCTATGCAGCGCTCATAAATATTAATGTGCTGTGTTCTTCAGAAGTGCTGACATCCGGTCTTCCAGACTCAAAGTCTTCTGGGATGCGTCCCATATCAGCTGTGCTCTTCTCCCCTGGCTGTGTGGCCTCCGTAGGGACCCTACAGAGGGAGTACAGTGGGAATCAGTGACGGTGTCGGCGGGATCTGAGCGCTTTAACTGCAGTGCGATAATAAATCAAACTCCCTGTCACCCACGCTTAACAGAAAATACACAATAGATGCGTGAAGCGGGTTTTGTAGGGTTATTAACAGTGCTGGAAGTAGTTTGTGGCTTTTCAGTAAAATATATTCGGTTCATGATCTACTGCTGGACATCATCACGTGGGTGGGAATCCTGCTGTCTCTGGTCTGTCTGCTCGTCTGCATCTTCACCTTCTGCTTCTTCCGCGGCCTGCCGACCGACAGGAACACCATCCACAAGAACCTGTGCATCTCGCTCTTCATCGCTGAAACACTCTTCCTCACTGGCATCAACCGCGCTGACCAGCCGGTAAGACACACACACACACACACACACACACACTCACTCACTCACTCACTCACACACACACACACACACACACTCAAACACACATGAATAGCTATTATAGCTTGTATTGATATTTTGAATTTGATTTTATTTTTGTTTTACATTTTCATTTCAAATTTGGTTTAGGTTTCAGTAATTTTGTTATGTGCTTTTGACATTTTTATTTAGTGTTTTTAGTGTGTTTATATAATTTTTATTCATTTTATACTTCAGTTTTAGTGTTAGTTTTTTACTATATAATAGTGCTGTCAAATGATTAATCGCATCCAAAATAAAAGTTTTTGTTTACATAATATATGTGTGTGTACTGTGTATGTTTATTATGTATATATAAGTACACACATATACAGCATATATTTTGAAAATATTACATGTATTTACATGTATAAGTTTATATTCATGTAATTTATATTATATATATAAATATATTTAATATATAAACATAAAATATTTATCTTAAATATATTTGTGTATGTGTGTGTAATTATATATACATAATAAACATACACAGTACACACAAATATATTATGTAAACAAAAACTTTTATTTTGGATGTGATTAATCGCGATTAATTGTTTGACAGCACTAATATGTATATATATATATATATGTATGTGTGTATGTATGTATGTATGAAAAAATTAACACTGATGATTGTTTTAAGCATAAACCTCTTAAACTTTCGGTTGTCAGTAGAGTAAGAAAAATTACAATTCTAAAACTAATTCAAAATATATACTCACTGGAAAATGATTATTATTATTTTCTTATTATCTTGCACAGTTTTGATGATAATTACCCTGATCTTGTCATTACATTTACATTGTTTACCACAGTTTCATTTTTTAAGCATAAATAACAGTACATTTTCTTAAATGTATGCTTGCCAGTGGGGTAGGAAATATAGACATAATTTAAAATACACATTCACTGAAAAAAACAAATCTTATCTTGCACAATTTTGCTCCTCAGGTAAATTTAGTTTTAACAAAGTTTAGATATTTTTACTGATAAATAATATGGTTTTTGCACTTCTTTTCACTGCTTTTTCCGTACTGTGCAGCTGGGAAGATCGTGTGTTCGGACACGGGATGTTTTAAATGGCTGACTGCATGTATTTATTAGTTCATGAGAGGGTGAAATAGCACAAGTGTGTGTGTCATAAAGATTTAATGAGAGAGCGTTCAGTGTGTGTGACTCTAATGCAGAACATCATGCATGATTCATGATCTTTAAAGCCTCTTATTTCATATTTTTCAATTATCTGAGAAGGTTTGTGAGGTCGCAGAACAGCATCCATCATTGTCCACGTAACGAGAGCGTTTGTGTGCGTCTTTCAGATCGCCTGTGCCGTCTTCGCGGCTCTGCTGCATTTCTTCTTCCTGTCTGCGTTCACGTGGATGTTTCTGGAAGGCGTTCAGCTCTACATCATGCTGGTGGAGGTGTTTGAGAGCGAGCATTCACGCAGGAGGTATTTCTACCTGGCCGGATACGGCATTCCTGCGCTCATCGTGGCCGTTTCTGCCGCAGTGGATTACCACAGTTACGGGACGGACAGAGTGTGAGTCTCACACACACACACACACACACACACACTCACACACTCAC